AATTCAACAATTTTTCTCGTCCTAATTGAACAATCCAACAAGTATGAGAAACGGTAAATGATAAAATGTGTAAAACATGTGGATACAACTATCAAATTATGTTTATAGGTTACATTCTTGGAGGGGAGCAAAATGAGATCATTTAGTACAGAAATCAATTCTAATGTAGAATTAACAAATTTCGTCACACTATTTCTTTACTCTTTTTCTCCTCTCCTTGGTATATGTAATCCTAGTAGATGTTGCAAGAAATCGAATGTGTGTCGATCATTGCCTTTTGTGTTAATATTATCATTACTTTCGATGGGTATGGTGGCCATACCCGTCACGCTACAAGCTGAGGGAACTTTCCCGTTGTCTGGGTATGACACTTCAAGCTCTATGGCTCCTCCATCTATTTGAAAACAACATTTGCAACACTAATTGACATGAGTTCATTATTTCTAGTTAGCAAATTACGAAATAAGATAAGAGTATTTAAAATTTTGAATTCTTCATAATTAACGCACATACTGTTCACCTCTTGATTCCTACTACGCAATGGACCCTCATGATTATCCAAGCATCGGTTATTGCCTCCTCCATCTAATTGAAAACAACAATTACATACTAATGGGAATGAATTCAGTATTTATAGTTTGCATATTACGAAATGAGATAAGTGTATTTAGAATTTTGAATTGTTCAGAAGTCAATGCTAAACACATGTAGAAGAAATCAAAAAAATAAACTATAATGTTCTGTCGAGAATGACAGTTCATATCAAAAGATGAATCATCTATCGAGAATAACTAAAACAAACTGTCGGGAACGATAATTTATTGCGACAAATGGGTCACATAACTGATCTTTCGAGAAGTTCTTGTGTGTCGAGAATTCATAACTATACAAATTTTAATTGTGACAAATTAAATAGTTCGCTTAGAAGATTCGATACCCGTGCCTAACCTAGAAAATATAATAATTAAGATAGGTTGGAATGACAAGTAGAGTACAACAATCAGCTTTTACAAACCAAACAAATTCAGAAGAATATGAAGTAAAAAAAATGATAGAACATGAAATATTTATTTAGAAAAATATTAAAAAAATCATATATAACACCCCAAAAAAATTAATATAAACTCAAAACAAAATGGAGAAATCCAAATTACCTGTAAATGAACTCTCCAAATAAAGTCGAACCCAAAATAGAGAACAATCCAACTCATGGTCTAGATGTAGGGAACTCAAAATTGATGGTGCAATCTAAAAGGGAAAAAAAAGGAACATTAGTAAAAAAAAAATTTGGAACAAAACCTTCAATCGATCGAAAAAAATGCATATATTCGAAGCCTTACCTAAAATATTCTTCTTTCTTCTGTATTGACGTAATAAACGGTATCCCAATGTAAGAATTTGCACTCCATATAGTTTTCAAAGAATCAAGAGATGAACCATAGAAAAGAAGAAAAGAGAAAGGAGAAATTTTACAAAGAAACGTACTAGGGAGAGAAAAATGAATAAGGACTTTGAAGTGCAATTGTAAGGTGATTGACTGTCACATTTTCTCCACTTTTTGTACAACTTTTTATGTTGTCAACTCAAGAATGTGTAGGGTATTTGAATTTTTAAGAGGGGCAAAAATGTCCAAAATTGATAATTTTCCAAAGACTTTAAAAAAGTGACATTTTTGTAAATGCAAAGCCAAAAGTTGACTATTTTGGTAATTTCCTCTAAATTAAGGTTTCAGTGCGAAGTAGCCTTGCTGTCCTGCATTCCACTGCTATCGTCGGTATCTATGGAGGCAGAGATAAGATTTTGGTGCAGAGGCAATGCTCATTTTCTGTGACGGGTGAGAATAAATTAGGGTTCACGATCGCCTTGCTATTGTACATTCCCGTGCTATCTTCAATGTTTGTGGGAAACAAGGATCATTGTAATGTGGAGGCAAAGTTCATTTTCTGTGATGAGTGAAAATAAATTAGGGTTGTGGTGAGTGGGTAGGATGGATGGATAGGATGGGATGAGATGGGATGATTTATGGAAAATCAAAATTATAATTTGATGAATGAAATCTAAAATTTAAAAATAGGTTTGGATGAAATTTCCATTAAATTTTTTTCTGGCATATACTGAATTAAAGCATTCAATTGAAGTCCATTAGCAAAACCCAAATACGTTTCACTGAAAAATTAAACATAATTTGCCAAAGTGATAATTACAGAAAACCCTAGAATTAAAATCTTGGTTCAAAAATCAGGTGAGTAGTTTAACATTTCAAATATTAGAAAATTTATTTTAAATTATATTTTTATAAAATAAATATTTTTACTCACAACCTTATTTTTCTCTCTCCCACGACGTCACCTCTCTCCCTCTACATCCACAGTCGTCTCCTCTCTCTGCATTCTCCTCTCACTCTCTACAATTTTCCCTCGACAATAAACAATGGATTGGGTCGTAGACATAGCTCCTCAGTTGGATTGTCGTGGCGGTTGGGTAGGTAGCAGCGTGGCGATCGTAGTGGCGGTGGCGACGTGGTGGATTGGTCCCAGTGGCAGTGGCGTCCTCTCCCTTCGTCTCTCTTCTCAACCTCTTTCTCTTTTCCATCTCCTCCATTGGTTGTGCTAGTTGTTGAAAATGGTGGTGATAGTGGCAGTGAGGTGATGGCTATTTGTGGGGGTGTTGCTAGTTTTTGTATCTGGTTTATTGGTAGATATTGCGGCGGTGGGTGCCGGAATCTGCAAAGTCGTTTTGCCCAAATCTGTAATTTTTTGTTTTTTATTATTCGATCTACTTAGCAGCGGTGCGGTGGTCGACGACGACAGTTCTTGTGGTTGTTCGTTTATGTGTGGGAATGGCATTGATGTTGTGATCTGGTATTGGCGGTGGTGCAGTGCTTTGGAGTGATGGCAGGGATGGGGCGTGGGTGATGGTGTTGTAGTAGTGTTGATGTCGATGGTAGGCGACGTCGCTGGTGGTGTTTGGCATTGGTGCGGTGCTTTGTAGTGATAGGATAGGATGTGGATGTTTATGACAATTTTATTGGTTGATTGACAGTTGTGACCAGTGAAATGATTAATTTGTGACCAATGTGGCAGTGTTTTGACAGTGACAGTGGTGCTGCTGTTGGAGGCAGCGTTGAAGTGGTGGTCACAAATTATTTGATTGATTGTGACAAGTGAATTGGTTAATCTGTGACCCATAAATAATAAGCGACCAATGAAAAACATAAAATGTGATCTAAAAAATTAATAATTTGTGACTATCTGATAAGTTGTGACCTATAATATTTGTGATCTGTGATCTATAAATAAATTGTGACGTGTAAATTTTTATTTTGTGAACGTAAAATAATTTGTGATATTAAAAAATTTTGATTGGTGACCGAAAAATAATATGTGGCTAATTAAATTGTAAATCATTGGTCAAATTATATAAATATGCGATCTTAATATATTTAGGGAGTGTTTGAGCCACATTATTTTGGTAATAATGCATTCTTGAATAGTGCATTGATGGAATATGTGTAGTTAAAAAATAAGAAATTTTTTTATTTGCGTGTAATATTATTTTATTGAAGAATATGTGGTTGAAATGATGTCAAATCATCGTTTAAGAATATTTTTTTTTTTTGGAAATAATGTGGCTCAAACATGCCCATATATAATTAATTAATTAAATTATAAATAAATTTTAATAAATTTGTGATTTTTGAAACTTGAAACTTTGTTTCTTACTTTTGAAGTGTGTAATACTTACCTTCTTTATTAGTTAGGAAAAATTGCAGCTGAAGTATCAAACCTTTCTTTTATTAACAGACTTTGCCTAAACCTTCGTTTATGCCACCGGAGGCACTAAACCTTCAAAAAATTTGCACCCGGAGTCCAAATTGACAAAAACCGTTAGTTGACCCCAAAATTGACATTGACCAAAATTTTGACTAATTTCGAAAGGTTAAAATTGTAACTTTGTATTTTTTTTTAACAAAAAAGACAATTATAATATATATTAATAATTAAATTAAAAAAAATCAAAACATAAAACCACCCACCACCCTTCCCTTCTTCCCCAATCCTAGAGCCAAATCCAAAAACCACCACCGTCACTGTCTACCACCACAACCAACACCACCGTCTCAACCTCCAATCATTACAAGAATTTGCGCAACCCTTCCTTTCTTCCCCAATCCTAGAGCCAAATCCAAATTTTTTAGATTTAGGTTTTAAGCACTATTTTAATTTGATTATTGGTTGGATTTGAGATTTTTTGATGAGTTAAGGTGATGTTGCCTGGTTTTGAGGCGATGGTGGGGCTGAAGATTAATGCAGTAAGGGCGAATCGATAAGAATTTTTGGTCTTCTCTGACAAGCCATTCGAGAGCTTTTCTTACCTTAATCCGGCCAATTATTTTCCTCTTCTTCTTCAGTATGTGGTGGTATAAATGGGTTCTTACTATATGACTATGGTGGTGGCGTTAGTGGGCTCAATCTCTTGCTAATGGATGGGTAAGATTGGGTTATGTTTGCTGGGTTTCTAAGGTAGTGAAGGGGGGACAATGTTAGTTTTGATATCTTTATTTGGAAGATTTGAAGGCAGTGAAGGGGTGGCATTGGGCGATCGACGTTGGGCGGTCGAGTGGTGGGTCAAGAAGTTAGTGGTTCTTGGTTTTTGGTTTTGGGGTGGGTGTTTGTAGGGTGGAGTGGAGAAGATAAAGTATTTCTTTTATTTTAATTTTTTATATGAAAAATATAAAGTTACATATTTGACCCTTTAAAAATCAGTCAGCAATTGGTCAAGTCATTGATTTTTGGTCAATAACAATCAAACTAACGATTTCTATCAATTTGGACTCTGAGTGCAAATTTTTTGAAGGTTTGGTACCTTCGGTAACACAAACGAAAGATTTGTGCAAAGTTTGCTAATAAACGAGAAGTTTGATAACTCAGCTGCAATTTTCCCTTTGCCAAACCCTATTTATACTATCCCGCACTCCAACCCCATTTCTCCCTTTCCCAATCTCCAATTCGGCCGCAAATCTGAATTCCACTTCCACATCTCTATCTCCGTGACTCCATCTGCAATTCCCCTTCCAAATCCCTGAATTCAGTTTTTTGATCTTCGCTCTCGACTTCTGTATTTTCCATTTTCTTAGAAAAAATCCCTTATATTAAAATTTCTCTCTAATTTTCATTATCATCATTCTAAAGAATCGGATTATTGCTAGATGCCACTGTGATGTTCGAATGCAGTTCGTAGCCAGTTGGAGTACTCACGAACCATGAAGTTGGGGAATACTATCTTGGTTTGGAAAATCCGGTGCGTTTCTTTTCAAATAATAGAAAACTGCCGAGTTTTTATTAAATTTTGACAGAACCTGTGCATACCTTTGAAATTTGAAAGTGAGCGATAGCCGTAGCATTTAGTTTGTGTCTATCTATGTTATTTCTAATTTTAATTTTTATATTTTGTCTTTGTATTAATGCTTTTGTGAAATACTGGTGAATGTAATCTATTGGGAAGCTCATAAATGGAAGTAATTCTGTATGGTAGAGGTGTCTTAAAATTCAATTTTGTGTATCACTCTATACGTTTATACATACGTGCTAGATCACTGTCTGCATTTTAGTTATATGTTTGTTTCCTATAGTAACCTCTGCGATGAACTCATGATATGCAGTGTGTTGATGAGTCCAATGGTTATGGTTGTTTAAAATTAATACGGAAATCTGGTCTGCTATGGCAGGTATGGACGACATTGAAGAGGAACATAAAGTCCAAAATAACTTCTAAAGGAATATGGCATGAATAAGAAGAGGAAATCACGTGAAAAACATTTCAGTGATGGTGAATAATGAATGCAAAGACAGAGTTACTGCAAATTGAAATTCTACTTCAGTCAAAATTTCCCAGTCATGCAACTCTAACAAGTGCAAGCGTGGAGTGATCCTTAAGTGTCAAAGGGGAAAAAAATAGAGGATGGACCAAAGTTTCAATCAGCAGTGTGGTAGCATTTTTAGAATCATTGATCGTGTACCTTCACGGATTTGTTTACAATAAACCAGTTGAGCATGTGAAGTTGATTCTCGATTATTTTAATTATTGAACCAATGAACTTAGGAGCGATAAAGCGTAAACTAGAGGACAATACATACTTTTGTGAAGAGGAATTTGCTAGTGATGTTAGACTGACTTTTTCAAGTGCGATACATTATAATCCTTCCGGGAACTACGTGAAGGAATTGAATGTGATAGAAATTATTGAAGAGAAAATTGAAGTACGCGTGAAGGAATCTCAAACAGTTATGTGATGTAGATAGAATACGAAAGAATGGCCAAGATACAAAGGCTATTATAGAGAAAAAGGCTAAAATGCAAACCAGTCTCGCCTTAACAAAGCTTGAGGGGAACATCAGTCTTCAGAACAGCGACCAATGTTGTTGGAGGAAAAGTGAAATTTGAGTAAAAGAGCTTTTAAAAATATCTAGCAAAAAGATGACGGAAACTATTAGGTTAGTGTTCGAAAAGTTTTGTATGGCCAGATTGAAAGAAGAAAAACATGATTCTTATATTCATGTGATTGACAATGAAATTTTACTGAAGCTGGAAAGAACGAGTGATAAATGTTCTTTGGATGCAACGGAAGAAAAGGTGAGTAAATTTAATGGTACAGATAATTTGGTCATGTAATTCTTTCTTCCTTTATCAGTTCTGTGTAGTTTCTTTTTTCTTTTTTTCGATTGCCATAATGTTGTCTTGCCATCTTTGCTCTTTCCATATCATGTTGATCCTTGTTAGTTGTTACTAGACCTTTCTTTACATAAATCCTTGATTCTTTAGGTTTTTCTGAACAGAGGAAGCCTGCAAGAACCACACAAAGTCATGCTAGTGAAAACTGTTCATAAAGGTTAGAGACTTGATAGAATAAGTTTGTGCTTTCTGGTTCTTTCCATGACCTGATTGGCCATGTTTCTTGTATGCAGATAATGGCAATCAAAGTGCATTTGTTGCTTCCAATAGTAAACAACCATTTGATTTCCCTGGAGTCAAATGTGCTGTAAGTGGTAGTATGATGTGCCAATGAAGCATTAGATGTTCTGTTAAGCCATCTTTCAGTGGTGAGTTAAATTCTTATATCTGTTGTTAGTAGGTTCCATCTGCGTTTCTGTCAACCAATTTGGAGTGCTCTTCATCTTTATTCAGATTCTTCTTCAGAAAGATCATGATTGTGATCAATATGGTGATTCTATATCTGGAAGTTTTAGCCTGTTCTTGTTACTCCAAATATTTTTATTTAATGTAATGAGCCTATTTGGTTAGGATTAAAATCTAATTTTAATCTAATTCAAAGTCAAACAATTAATATTAACCACATCTTTCATGGGTTCTACAATTTTTCAACCACACATTTCAAAAATTTCTATTTCAATCTACTAAAAAAATCTAATTTTAATCCCACCTAACACCCTCAATGAGCCTGTTTGGTTTGGATTAAAATCTGACTTTATTCTAAGTTAAAGTCAAACACTCAATATTAAACACATCTTTCATAGGTCCCACGACTTTTCAACCGCACATTTCAAAAATTTCTATCACAATCTACTAAAAAATCTAATTTAATCCCCACCAAACACTCAATGTTCAACTTTTGGCTGATTGTCGCCCTGTACTTTTACATCGGGATCCTTAAATATCCCGTGGCATCTCATGCAAGATGATTAGAGCTGGATTCTAATGGTGAGCGCAAAAGCTGTTAATTATATGTTTGTAATTGTGTAGCTAGTTTTTTTATTGTTTCAGCTTTGACACGTCACTGCGAATGATTATTAGGACATGAAAATGTTTCCAATTAAGACCTACTGAAGTAGGTATTTGGATGAGCTTGAGCTCATGGGAGTTCTCCTTGTTTCCTCATTTTATCTCCCTATGCTGAGAGATATCTTGTTTCCCACGATGCTTGATGGAAATCTTTCATTTTTTTCTGAATCTGATTATGAGTCTTATCTTACTCCCACGGGCACACAGATACATGTATGCAATGTTCTAGATGTAAGAAAATGATGTCAGTTTGCCCCCACCAAATTCCAAGATCCAAGCTATTGAACCTTGGAAATATGAAGACTTGATTTATCTTATGTATTTATTTTAGGATGGACTTCACTTGTTCATGTGTTGTGAAACAATGCTTCGCATGCTGCAGTGTTAGATACTATCTTTAGAACTACACATGAGACTCTCTCGGATCATGTAATGAATTTTTATGGCTTGCAGAAATTTCAGCATAAATACTATGTTGGTTGAGCTCTTTTCATATTGAGGACTTAATAATATCTCTATTCTGTTGATTTTTGTCCAGGAGGAGAAGATTAATCCTGTCAATGGGCAGAAATAAAAGGGAAGACTGGAAAGGCAGGAGCATGAAGGTGATCTAAGCATATCCTCGGTTTAACATTATGCTGTGTTGTCATATTTTTGTGTTAAAATTTTTTTCCTTCCAATGAATCTTAGAAACTTTTCGTACGATTTTTGCCTTACTGGGCTTTTATTATCATTTGAGTAGAAATGCGATTTGGTACCAATGGCATTAAAACAGATGAGTCCAGTTAATTAGAATTATATTCTCTCATATAGTTAACTTTAATTGTACTTATCCTTTAATGCCAACTAAACTAAAATAAATTAAACTGGTGTTTTAGCACCAATGTGCCAGATAGCATTATTTTTATCTTGTATGTAACTTTTTTTTTTTTTTTTTTTTAATAGATGTTGCTCAAGACGCAGCTGGTTGACATTAAAATTACAAGGAATCTTCAGCTTCAAAATAACTGCAGAATTTCTCAAAGAAGAAAGAATCATACCAATTCATACAACCAAATTGTCTGCGGAATTTATCACCTTTCCTTTTATTTCAGCCAAAGAAATCTTTATTGCTTTTTCTTTCCAGTTCAGGAAAAGTTTCGTTGTCAATCATGTCAATATAAGAATCGAGTTTTTCTTCTCTTAGTTTGGCCATACAAAACTTTTAAAATACAAACCTTAAAGTTTCAACCATCTTTCTGCTCGATATTTTCAGAAGCTTTTTTTCTCAAATTTTGCTTTTCCACTTAAAACTGGCTTGTTGTGCCCATAAAACTGACCTGTTGTGCCCATAAAACTTTATTAAGGCATGATTGTTTTGCATTTTGGCCTTTCTTTTTTATAATGGGTTTGTATCTTGGCCATTCTTTTCACGTCATCTACATTGCATAACTGTTCGAGATTTCTGCTCGTGCAGTTCAATTTTGTCTTCAGTAATTTCCATCTCTTGAAATCGTCATTCAATTCCTTTGCATAGTTCCCGAGAGGATTGTGATGTATCCCATTGAAAAAGTCAACCTGACATCATTAGCAAATTCCTCTACATCAAAGTATGTATTGTCCTCTAGCTTACTCTTTATTGTTCCAAAATTCATTGGTTCAATGGTTATTGGAATCAAGAGATCATTGGTTGATTTAAAGAAAATCTATGGGGGTGCCCATCCCGATCTAAAAATGCTACTACACTGTTGCCTGAAGCTTCGATCCATGCTATGGTTCTTTTTTCCCCTTTGACACTCAAGGATCACTCAGCCTTACGCTTCTTAGAGTTACTTTACTGGCAAAATTTGATTGTTTTAGATTTCTTATTTGCATCAACTCCATCTATGCATTCATTTTTTATTGTCATTGTGACGTTTTTCATGTGATTTCTCTGGTGATTCATGCTGCATTTCTTTTGAGATGATTTTGTACCTTACGATCCTCATGTTACCAACAGTCATCACAAATTTAAATTTGTGAATTAATGGAGAATTGTAAGTTCTGCAATTAACAATTTTGTTACATGTACATCCATTTTATACCACTAGTTTAATTTCTCCATTAAATGATCCAGTATGACTTCACGTTCCATTTTCATGAATTCTTCCGTTGATGTACTTTTCTATATTTTGATAATGTGAAATTGAGAGTGTGATAAAACCCATTTTCAAACATTTAAATGCAACATTAATTCACATGTAAATTCGTAATTCAAAAATTAAAGTACAAAGAGTTAAATATTTTGATTCTATACACTCGCATGTTGCGAGCGCTGGTAACCCCATTTGTATAAAGTTGAAGGCAATAAAAGTTGTTTGTCCACGTAGAATTAGTTTGGCAAATGCTTCGTTCGATTTTATTCTTTTGTCAAATGATAATGACATGTAATATATGTTGTATATACAAGTAAATTATGAATAATAAAAAATTAATCGATTAAAAATCAATAAAAGATTAATATAACTATGTTAAGACAATTTAGATAGTTATATTAATACAATTTAGATAAATCAGTTTATCTTTCTTGTATCAGCAATGTCTAATACCTATGAGAAGTATAATTTTTTTTTAAAAAATTATTAAAATAAATAAAATAAATTCAAGTCATATAGCAGCAATGGAAAACCAAGTTTCAAATTTTATTGCAGTCAATTGGGATTTTCTGTTTATTTGTCGAATCATGGAAAAAGGGCAACAAATTCCCATAATTTCTTATTAAATCATTGATTCATATATTCAAGAAAGTTAAGCATTAAATTAAATTTCCAACCCAACAATGACATTTGAAATCTCTACATGTTTGGTGAGTTCTTGCGATTACTTTGCTCTGTGTTTCTTTACTTTGTTTCTTTTGGTTAGTTTTTGCAGTATTTGAACACAGATCCTTGGGTTTCATTGGTTGATGTATTTATGTTTCAGTGTCTTTTAACTCTCTCTCCATTTTTATTGTATTTTTTTAATGCGGTAATTTCTCATTTCTTCAATAATTTATGTTCAGAGAAATGTCATTTTCTCCAATTTAGAAGTGAAAGAAATTGTAATTTGATTACAAAACTTTAAAATATGATTTATTGATACTTTAACAAAAATGAAAAAGAAAGGACCTCAAAATTTCATATTTTTATTCAATTAATAACTTAAAATTGTCATTACTTACAATGGATGATTCTCAACAAAGTTTGTCCCTTTTATTAAATTATTATGGTTGTACTACATGTACATAAGACGTTTATATAATGATTTCCTTTAAAACTTAAAATAAGCTTTAAATTACTGAATAATATTATAAATTAATTTTTGACGATTATATTACCACCACAATTTTTAATTGATCCATTATATTTTAATTAGGTTAAGCTCCTCAATTTTTGTTCATTGTATTAGATATTTCCTCTAACTTTTTCTTTTTTTGGTCAAATTCTTATCTTCAATCTTTAATTAATTTGTATGTCTCATCCTTGATAGTGATTCACATCAAAATATTTTACTTTCATGTAAGGGAAAAATATTTTTTCGTAATTTTTATTTATTTAGTTTTTGAAAATATGATAGGAAAATAAGTTGTTTTACATCATTTAAATGAATTTGTGGACATAATATCAAATATAAAATCTCTTAACTAATAAAAGTTTAATGATAAAAATAACATGAAAAATCTTTAGGGATATAAGAAATTAAGAATTTTCCAATAAAATTAAAATGTGGTTTAAGAAATAAAATATTGTGATGTGAATATAATTACTCATAAATTTATTTGAGGTTACACGTCCAAACTAATTTATTTTTATTATATATATTTTTTTATCAATAGTGTTCAATTAATTCATTTTAAACTATTAAGTGAAAGTATTCATATTATTTCAATTAGGATAAAAAATAAATTTTGCACTTGAAAATTACCCATTCAATAATTTAGAAAATTATATATGTGCTTGTATTTATTTGTGTCACATTTTGCTAATATTAGGTTACATATATAAGTAACTATATTAATCAAAGGTCAATGAACTGCTAAGGATAAAACACGTGATTAAGTAATACGAGATTATCTTCAATAATTTTTTTTTTAATATCATCAAGAGTGTGTTTGATTGACTTTATTTTCCGTGAAAAATATTATTTGTCATTTAAACTCCTACTTTCGAGGTGTTTAATTGACAAATTTTTTTATGAAAAATATTTTTCAACTTTTGATCATGTGATTATATTTTTTTTAAAAACAATGAAATATTTTCTGTAGGAAGGGATGTTTTTTATTTTCCAAATAATTAACTCTCTCTCTCTCTCTCTCTCATCTACTCACCAATAAAAAATGGACAAATATAATATTTTTCAGATTAAAAATTAAATCAATTAAACATATTTAATTAATGATTTTCATATAAACAAGTTCTAGGCAATTGAATTGCTTAAAATTTATTTTCTTTTCATGTAAATTTCACGCTCGCAATCAAACACATCTCAAGTGTTTCAAGGCCGAAATCTTTTCACTTTTTAATCTGCTAATTTGTGAACAAGTTGGGGCAAATTTAGAAAAAATTATTAAGACAAATAAGAAAATTGTATAAATTGTCTTTTAAAGTTGCAAATGAAAATATTATACTTATAAGATTACAAATAATTGCAATATATAAATAATAGACAATGATTAATGACCATCTAGTCTTATAAGGATACCCAGAAAATAGCCAGGATACCCAGAAAATAGCCATAGTAGGAGCACAAAAAATGACACATTTAAGTAGTTGGAGGATCAATCTCAACGGTTGAAGGATGAAAAGGAGGCATCTCAATAGTTCGATGACTTAAACTGATGCATCTTAATAGAACGAGGACCTAAAAAATTCATTTCAATGGTTGGAGGATCAAAAGGACACATCAAAATCGTGGGGAGGGGGTGGCTAAAACAACATGTATAAATAGTTAGAGGGCCAAAATATGGAATATAAATAGTCGGAGAACACAAATGACATATCCTAATAGATGGAGACCAAAACAATGCTTATCAATAATTGGATTTTCAAGATGATGGAATTCAATAGTTGGAGGACCAAAACCATGATCTCAGTAGTTGGACAACTGAAACGATGCTTCAAAATAGTTGGAGGACTAAAACAATGCATTTCAATAGTTGGGGGAATAAAAAGAAGATAGTTGATAACTGTAGCACCAAACGACTTATCTAAGCTCGAGGACCATAACGACACATCCCAATAGATGGAGGACAATAACGACCCATCTCAATAATTGGTGTAAACCATAAATTTTCAGAACCCCGAAACATTATAAAATTAATCTTTGTTTGGTTTGACGCCTTTGATGTTAATCAAAATAAATTGCAAATGAGAAACATTTCGGAGTTTAGAATTAAAAAAAAAATGTAATGAGAGAGATTTGTCAATATAGACTTAAGACAACTATGATGACATTTAATTTTGGAAAAAATCAGCAAATACCAGTTGCTAAGTGGCAGATTGAAAAATATATTTGGTCTAGCAGACGTTGACTAAAAATTCTAAAATTTTAACAGAGACTATTGCATTCAAATACGTACAACAAATAATAATATGGGGTCTCGACGATAATGTTTGAAGTACGAAAATATTGTTTGACTATGCTGGACTAAAGATTCGATTCTGACCCAATGTAGTCTACTTAAATGGACATAACTTTTTCCCTAGATAATATTTTAAGAAAATTCCAAAGGCCATCGTTAGAAGACTCATTAACCTTTCAAGCCCCACTGATTTCACTCTAAAATATGCATGTAGCTCAAGTTATATAATTTTCAAATAGAATGATAGAATCAGAAATTCAATCCTGCAACAAATTAACTTTATGCACAGTCATTCCAACATTTCCAAATTATGGCTAACATGAAATATATATAAAACTAGACGAATTAGGAGTTTAAACATTTTTTAAAAGCGTCATCTAAGTATTCATAATCACTTATGAAGTTTGTCACTTCAACCTTTGAACTTTTAGTATAACGACAACTCTAGACATTTTCATTTGCTAAATGATCAATAATAAGTTTATGGTAGCGACATAATAAATATAATTCCAATTATTTTCGAGCTTTGTAAGAAAATTTTATTTTAAAACAACACAAGTCGCTACAATTGGAGGGTTAAAATGATGCATCGAAGCATATGGAGAACCAAAACAATGACCATAATAGATGAAGGAGCAAAACTAACACATCTCAATTGATGGAGGATTTAAACTATGCAATTCAATAGTTTGAGAACCAAACCTACACATTCCAATAGTAATAGGACCAAAATAACTAATTTAACTAGTTGGAGTACTAAAACAACTTACCTCATTAGATGAAGGAACAAAACAAAAATTTTAATAATGGGATTAGACCAAATGCCGGAATTCTTAGTCGGAGATTAAAACTAGGAAGCTCAATAGATGGTCAATCAAAATAGAAATAGATGGTGTATCTCAATATTTGAAAGACCTAAACAATGTATCTCAGTATCTGGAGGACCAAAATTATGTATTGTAATAGATGGATTATCTAAACTACCGAATTCAATAGTTGGAGCAGCAAAACAATGCATATTAATAGTTAGAGGATGAAAAAGATGATAGTCAATAAATAGAGCACCAAATTAACTCATTTTAGAGTCCGTTTGATTGTAAAGATGGAATTGAATTGAATTGAAAACGAATTTCAAGGAATTGAATTACCTAAAAATTGTTTTCCTGATAATTGTAAATTATTGTGTTTGATTGATATAAATTTTCAGGTGAAAAATATTAAAATAAAAGTGTTTTTTGATATTCATTTGGCTTTGTTTTACATGAAATTGTCAATTAAAGGGATAAAATTTACTAATATTGGGTATGAAATTTGTTTCCATTGCCAAAAAAAAAATTCAAGAAAATATCTTTTGTTGTTCGTTTGTCTTTATTTTACATGGAAATTGTTAGTTAAAGGGAAATATTTTTTTACAATAATTTCTAGAATTTGTTTCTATTGTCAATACAAAAAATGAAAAAAAAAATGCTACAATAACTCGAAAA